CTTGCTGGGAGAGGCCGGCTTTTTGGGAAAGCCTGGATGGATCGTCTGACACCAGGCTGCCCTAATTATCCTAAGATGGTGAGTAATCGACCCGCAAGGCAGTGAGACTGGACTATTGTCTGCGCCAGCTTACCTTACCTAGCTGCTATTCCCACTTAAGAACGCCATTCAGAGTCTCGGGACGTTGAGATGGAGGGAGGGCTGGTCGCGCTTCCAACGAGAATGCGGAGATAAGGCTTGGGGGCCGTGGGAGTGTGTGACAGCTTTCGAGCTACCTCGCAAAAGACTGGTGACTAGGAAGATGGACGTTTCCAAGGCATTCCATCAGATACTGGCGCCATCAATTAGCGGTGAAGGCATCAGCAGGAATGCCAGGCCCCAATGTGAAATTTGACAGATTGGAAACCCGCCGTCTCAATTTGTCTTCTTGCCACGGTCCGTGGCGTGAATCCACTACCGTATGTTTCGAGGCTGATCTAAGCGGTAGGATCGTGGTGGTTGCGCCGATATCTGTAGGTTGGCTGGTTGGTTGGTAGGCATGTAAGGTAGGGACCGAAAATGGGCTGGCTGCTCAGCTTGGAATTCCAAAGAGGAAGATCCGGGGGAGGCGAAAATACCTTCTTACCTTGCCCAGCAGACCCCGGATCGCCAAAGAATGCAGGAGCTTGGGCCATGGCCGTTGCTTCCTTCCCCGCCAGATTCCAGAACCAGCACGTGACCCACTTGCCAGCCGGGGCCCGGGGCAGGCAGGTGCTGGGGCAGCCGCAGGGCAGGAGATGGGGTAGGAGGATGCCTGCTCTTTCCATCTCAAGTAAAGCGAGCTTCAGCTTTGTTCCAACGTCAAAGATCCAATTCATCCAACAACACCTCATCATCTCAGAATATTGCCGAGTCAGGGAAAACTCATCAAATTCCTTTCCATCCGACTTCTTGTTGCTCTTCGCGCCCATCACCTTCCCCTGGGCGTTCTGCCGTCAACTTCTAGTCTCCGCAGCTAAGGCGCACGGCCCCGGCCTACTGTCAAGCTCCCGCTGTCCAAGTTTGTTTGTACAACACATCTCAAGTTCTCTCACAGCTCGATTGATCGTCTATTGCGCAGTCATCATGCTCGTCAAGCTTGAAGATACAAAGTCGGCAGCGGCAAGTTCTATGGTGCTCCGCCTAGTGAGCCAGAACGTCCGGTATGCAACAACGAAACCCACTCCCAATGAGAGACCGTGGAGCTTTCGGGGACCGAAACTCTGCAACCAATTGGACTTCCTCACGACTGGCCACGAGTCAGCATTCATCTGTCTGCAAGAAGTCCTCTACTCTCAACTTGAAGACATCCAGTCTTACCTCGGTCCTGCCTGGGGACATATAGGTCTCGGTCGTGATGACGGCAAGCGAGGTGGCGAATTCTCACCAGTCTTCTACCAGGTTGGACGTTGGCAGTGCGTGCGGAATGAAACTCTTTGGTTGAGTAAGACACCGGAAAAGCCATCTAGAGGATGGGATGCCGTACTGAACCGTGTTGTTACCGTCGGGGAGTTTCTCGATAAACAAACATACTCGCGTATCGTTGTCATGAGTACGCACTTCGATCATATAGGAGTTGTCGCTCGAGAGCAGAGCGCCAAACTGCTTCTCAACGTTGCTCGAGAGTGGAGCAAAGGAGCGAACGGAAAACCTCCGACAACCGTCCTGCTTGCGGGTGACTTTAACAGTACCCCGGATGACAATGCCTACAAGACAATGGTGGCGCCGGAGTCAGGCATGGTCGATGTCTCAACTCAGGTTCCTAAAGCGAAGCGATACGGAAACGATATCACATACACGTCGTTTGACGAGCCTGATGAGAAACCGAAGAGAATCGACTTTTTGTTTGTGAAGGATCCGAGCCCAGCTACCATCAAGACATTTGGCGTGCTATCGAACAAGTTCGATGACGGCGTTTATCTGTCTGACCATAGGCCAGTCGTCGCCGACGTTGAGATTCCTGTCTTACGAACGGCCAGCAATATCTTCTGAAACAATACTACACGTCAATCGTGGCTTGGATTCAGAATCGTGGACCCCCGTGCAACGTCACGCAAATCGGCGGCGTAGGAGAGGCAGATCTGGGACCTGCCCGAGTCTCCGAGACAAGCTCCCTGCATCTCCAGCATTCCAAGGTCTCGACGTCAAATGAATTTGGCAGGCGCGCAGGAGCTGGACAACCGCTCGGCATCGAGTGATAGGATCTCGCAGCAACAGGCTATCGACAAGTCGATGTACACGGCCAACGACGAGTGGCGTTGCGTCATTTTAAGCCTCCAAAGTCAGTCGATATGGCGTTCGCATACGGTACGATCACAACAGTATTACCTTCCGGAATCGCTGCGTATTATAATGTATACGGTCCTATCTCTGCCACCCGGCTTCAATGCGGCAGGCCATGTCGTGTTCTACCTACCACTGTGGCGCGTTGGGATCGCTTTCAACGGTGGCGTTGAGGGATTATGCCTCAAGCGAAAAGGCGGTGTGGCTCCGAGATGGTGTCGAGTTCCTCGCTCCACAACCAACAACCGCCTATCGATCTGTCCGCCTCGGATATGTCGACTTGTCAGTCCATCGCGTCTTTGCAGCAGCGTCCGCTCTCGGCTTCATGCAGTTCGAGCGTGCAAGAGTGGCATATCGGACAAATGGCGGGCTGGCCATACTAGATAATTTGCAAAATTGCTAAACAAATGCAACCGTGGCGTGCATCAGATCTGAAGATCTGGATGGATACATACACTTGAAGACGTTCGTCAGAACCGTGTCCTCGGCCTCCGCATTTCTAATTACACAAACTATGCTTCTCTGCATACAATTCGTAATGACGATGTCTTTGACCGTGGTCATTGACTGGTGCGGCAGCTCTGCACAAAACACAAAGAGACTCAAATGTTGATGGTCGGAGGCACTTGACTGCAAACGAGCTCAATACAGAGCTCATCCATTCTCCGCAAGATACCGAACCGAGGATCCTAGCGACCCGTTCATTACCTTGGATGCGACGATGCTCCACTTCTCAACGAGGATAAAACCAACTTTGACTAGCTTCCTCGATAAGACGGAGCCACGAGAGGCTCCGGGAGGGCCTCACTCGAACCCATTTCGGCATGTCCTCGCGCTAGACGGATTTTATGCACAGCGGGCGCTGGTATACGGTGATGATGCCTGTGGGATGGGTGCATGTCATGCAGCCGGAATACGCAGTTGCGTACAGCGTGTGGAGGACGGTCTAGGCGCCAGCCAGGCAAATTGTGAATCGCACATGTTTCTTCATGTCACCTTGCCTTTGGACGATTCAGACTTGGAGTACTGCGACGGTATCAGACCGCGGCAATCTACTTCTACGCAGAAGAATGGAGGGGGAGACATTTCAGTACAGTACAATTGGAGAATTTGAAGTACATCATCTGGCTGATGTGGACGGTCCTATCGGAGCTGATAGTGCGGAGTTCGAGACCACCTTCGACTTCGAGACACAAATCCAAGAGGCGAGAACAACGCTGTCATGGCGACACGTCGTTCAGAGTCACATTGAGAACAAACTCCAGTGACTTGACCACAACAACAACATGATGTCGATCTCGAGTCCGTGTACCGCGGTGACGCTATTCCTGCAAACAGTGTCGTTCTTGCAGCGAGATCGGTACCTACTAAAGAGGGACCAGGGCATCGTACCCCAAGATATCCGTACGCAGCTCTATCAGAAGCATACCCTACAGACAGCAAGACGCGGGGAGACAGATCTAGACGGGCAACACTGCAGGAATTCAGCATCGTGATGCCATCGTACATGGCTTCGTTCAACAATTACAAGGGACTAATTTGTGCTTGGACAAGTTGGCCACGGACAGCAGCCATTCAAGTCCGAGATGGAGCGATGACTCCCATTGCCGTCCCGGCCCCGCCCTATGAGAAAAGCGAGCGGGCCCGGACTGCATGAATCTGCATTCCTGACCGGGTGGGTCGGGCCCATGATTGGGCTTTCCGGCACAAGTGCGTTGGCGATGCGGTGCCGAAGGGCGATGGGGTTAGTTCTGCATTATGTGCAGACTTTGCTTCAAGCTTGTCAACCATTTGAAGGCGCCCGGTTGTCTACCTACGCTACCCAGGATGACAACGAAACTTTTGAAAGTACAGGAAACGTCTCCTGATGTTTGGTTCGCGCAAGCTCCGAGTCGTCAACCACCTCGACCACCTCATGGGGCGCGCACCAGACTAGGGACTGTCTCTCGGTCGATCACCTCACCAATCCTGAGAACCTTCCTTTTGTTTCTTTTTCTCGCCCACCCCCAAATATTTTAACCGAAGTCGAAAACACGTTTTGGTCAAAAGAAGAGAGAAAAAGGGTCTGGCAGGCTGCAGAGCGCGGCAAACGATTGGATCCTCGTGGTGTCGTTCGTCAGCCCGCTTCGCTGTTGATACCCAAAGGCCAAACCCAGCCACAAGGTCGGGCAGTAAATCCAGCCATTTGATGGAGAAGTCGAAAAATCCCAGCCGAAAAGGGCACAACGCACCAGATAGCAACGCTCCGTCATCTTTGAGTGACACCCCCGCCTGGTTCGGCCCTGGAGGTGGATCTCCCGCGCACACGGAGACTCCCTCCACCAGCCAGATTTTAGCAGCACAGCGCAGCCCAAGGCAGCCGGCCCATCCTGTCTCATTCAGACAACTGGCAGAAGACTCAGAAAGCGTTGTTTCCCTCTCTTCTGTGGCCACACCCCCGTTGAGTACCTAGGCGTTCTAGGGCCTCCGTAGGTAATTAGTACCTAGGCCAGCGTGAGGGAAGGGGTGGCTGTCGCATTCGAGAGTTCAATGGCGGCACGAAGAAGAAAACACTGCCATCGGGGCACAACGCAGAAAAAGCCCTTGGTCGGACACTCGCACAAGCAAAGCAGCTCTGCTGTCTGGCATCGCAACACATGGGCGGCGTACACGAACGTCAGCGCTACGATGGTAACGGAACATCGATCTAAATGGAAAGTTCAAGGTTGGGGCACTTTGTGCTGTGAAGAGCTTCCTTGTGGGCGCGGCGTCCACGGATTCGCAACATCCCAGCAGGCCTTGCCAGGCTCTTGACCCCCGTTCGAGGGAAAATCCATTGCAACGGTCGCGGACGGGAAGAAACGAAAGACAAGGGCTTCTCCACAGTTGGGCCTGAGTGCTTCTGGCGCTCTGACCCGAAGCGGCGACGATTGGCACCGGCGCCAACGAAAAGCACCAACATCAGAGCCCCAGGGGAACGCCCAGTTCCCAACTTTGCGGTCAAATGCTATGTCGAAGGGGTTTCCCTGGTTTGACGCCGGTGCTGCGGATGAACCACAGCCAACAGAAGCTTCCTGGAACGAGACGAACTGGCTCGACGTCGGTCCAGCAGACTTTAGCTGAGTCCTTTCGACGGTCCTTGCTGCCACGCGGTGGAGCTTGAGGCTATTCTGTTAGCTCTAGCTTGTTTCTGATGTGGGTTGTCGCAGTTTTCCCACCCAGGAATCCCGACTCCCAGGACCCAGCGAGCGCCAGGAAGAAGAAAAAAAAAGAAGAGTTCCCACAAGCCGGCAATCTCTGTCCTCCACCCATTTTTAGGCGATTTCGATACAGTTTGACAGGGAGAAGTGACGACAGCAAAGAAATTCCCTGTCCTCCTTGGGTCCCATGCTTCTCCAGACTCGCACACGTTCTTGACAGTCACAGACCCTGGCATTTCGACTGTGCAACTTGGGAGAGACGTTGCAAAGCTGGGCAGCACCAGTAGCCCATCTCCTCGCACACCCTCTCTGTCTGCCTCTCCGTCTCTCTCTCTAACGTTACAGGCCTGTCCTCCGTCTCCCGCAAACCATAGTCCGTTCCAGCGCTCCCGTCCGCCTCGGATAGTCGAGAATCAAAGCCGGAGCCAAGTCTCTAGATCCATCAGAGCTCTCACAGCCATTTGCGGACTCAGGCACACGCCCCTCCTCCTTCACGCGAGGCAGCTGTAGTGCTTGCTATTATCGAGCGCTGGCCGGTCATTGGAGTGACACTGGACGAGCGGCAGAGCACCCCGGGCAACGAGAAGACCTCATCCGCTGTCAGGTCCTTTTTTTGCTGTGACCACACCCCTCCATCGGGTCGTCAAATTCAGGGCCGTCCCCGCGATTGGCCTTTCTGTAGGCTATTTTTTCACTTGTGGTGCTGCGAATGAGTTGCTGGGCTGCGCACACACCTCGCTCGCCCTCCCCTCCCTTTGCTCCGGACTCTTCCTCCCACGGCGCAACAGTCATTACACTACGATTGCAACTGCACGCACTCACGCTACCTGTCCTATCCGTACGAACGAAGTACCTTACCTGCAATGCAAAGCATAGGTCGGGTGAGGTAGGTAGGCAGGGCAGGATTAATAAGACAGCACGCTCGTCCACAGCCCGCCCACGGCCACGGTCAGCCGTGGTTTTCTTGGATTATTATCGATCCCACGTTGTATACAACGAAATACAACAACAGATTCGACAAATATCATCTCTCTCCCTCGTCCGCGCTTCTCCTGACGATCCATAATACCTCAACTACCCTTACTCTTCTGACAACCTAGGTAGCCAACAACGAACAACGAGTAACCTGGCCGCCCTCGCACACCAGCCAGCATCAGCACCAGCATCCGCAGCGTCTCATTTTCTCCCACACCCAATTTCCACGCCCCCCTCATCCTGGTCGGATTTTCATCCCCACAAATACGGGCCCTCCCTCCATCAGATAGTGGTCGCATCCCCTTCCGCATCCCCACTGCCTTTCTCGTCCGCCCTTTATACAAAAAAGTTCCCGATTCCCACCGCAACCAAGTTCTTTTCTCCCAGTTCACCACACCTTCGATCACTTGCTACGAACCTACGATTGCTCGCCTCTGTCGAGGCACCTTTGCCTCTTATCACCAGTCGCTCGACTACCGAGCCAACGCAAACACACCATAGCCCATTACGACGATCGACACCGCTTCATCATGGCCCCTAGGAAGATTGTTGCCCACTGCGAAGACGTCGACGAGGAGACTGGCTCCGTTATCCAGGGCTCCGACAAGTACGCCCAGTCACAAGCACCAGGAAGCCCATCAAGAGAGAAGGCAAACAGCGGCAAATCTCGCAATAAGGACAGGATGACGAGACCAATCTCCGCCTCCCCGCAATACGGCCATACCGACTCGGACGATACCGTTCACCCCGCTATCCCGGACAAGAAAGTGAGGGACAAGAGACGATCTGAACAAAAAGCTGCTGATCGAGTCGCCGAGAAACTCGCCGAGAGGGCCGCAAGAGACGAGACCGCCCGAGAGCAGGGTCGTCGAGAGGAAAGACACCGTATCAAGAAGGAGCAGGAAAAGGCTTCACGCCGCGAACAAGAACGCCTCGAGCAGGAGCAGCGCGAACGAGAGGAGCGTCACCAGAAGCGCGAGCGATCCGCCGCCAAGAAGTCCGCAACCCGTCCCTCCACAAAGCATGTCAACACGTCCCCCGTCGTCCATACCCAGAAGACCGCCCAAAAGCCAGATGAATACAGAAGACCACGTTTTACGGAAGAAGAATCCTCGCAGTACGGTGTACAGCAGCCGGCACAGGCACAGGGTGCGCGTCCCCGAGCTTCAAGTCGCCCTGCCAGCTACTACGGCCAAGGCTCCCGACCACCTACCTCCAATAAGCAATGGCATGCTGCGAACAACGCTTCGCCCTTCACTCCGGCCCCGAACCCATCGCCATTCGCACCATCGATCCACGCACCGCCTTCCTCTCATGCCTCGTCGCCCTTTACTCCCGCTCCTATGCCGATTCCCATCCACCCATCACCGCATGTGCAGTCGCCGTTCGCACCCGCACCTGGCGCCTCGTACACCCAATCGCCAGGCCCCTGGGGCCCTGGAAGTGTTCCTTACCCTATGCAGGCGCCGCACCATCCGCCTCCGCCGCCGTCGAACGATTACTTTCCGCCTACCCCTGTGGCGAGCAGCCCCCGACACTCAAACCTGGCCCAACGCTTCCAACAGAGGCCTTCGTCGGCCATGGGACACCGGTCCATGTCAGCGTCTACCTTCGAGTACGACAACTACGGATACCATCCTAGCCCTGTCCACGCCCACGCCCACCCACATGGACCCGGCCCTACCTATGAGCAAGAGAATATCCCCATTGGCAGACGGCCATCTCTCAAGGTTCGGGACAGAGACAGAGACAGCGACTTGATGCCGCCGCCGCCGTTCCCCCGCTCACGAACGACTGCCCCTCAGCAGGCTTTCCGTCCCCCGCCTCAACCTCATCCCCAGCAGCGACAGATCATGTCTCAGGGCTATGACTCTGATGATTTCGATGGCGAAGAATCCATGTACCAGGAAATCGTTCCCCATGGTTACCAATATGACGACGGCGTTGTTGCCAGGCCCCGTGGTCACCGAAGGGGTTCCAGCACGTACAGCCATCGCGCATATCAGATCGAACCTGCTCCTGCTCCCGCGCCCGCCCGGAGTAGCCGCCGCCATTCGTACATGGCTGGCGGCGAAAGCGGTAGCTACTCGCAGTCCAAGTATGACTCCGCCGAGGCTGCTGCTATGGCCTACCAGAACGGCGTAAGCGGCGGCGGCGGTGTGCCTTTGACTGCTGCGGCCCTCTCAAAGGCTGGGAAGAAGAGCAAGAGCAGCAGGTCCAGTGGAAGTAGCGACAGCCGCGACGAAAGCGACTTCCTACGAAGCGCCACCACGCGGACTACCCGGTCTTCTGCCATTGACGGCGACGACATCACCATCAAGGTTACGGGTCACGCCGTCCTGCGAGTTGGCAACGCCGAGATTCAGTGCCAGGATGGCGGCGAAATCAACATCAGCCAGGCAGCACGCATTGCTGGTGGTAGCGATAGGGATACTGTCTACTCCGATGAACGCCGCAGCCGCATGGACCGACCAGCTATCCGTGATCGATCCGAAAGCCGGACCGACTCCTATGCTCGTAGCCAGGCGGACGAGTTCGAGCAGTTCCGCATTCCGTTTACCTAAATCGAACTGCAACGACAATGATTGACGAAGCGACGCACTTTTGTTTTTCACTTTTGCACGGTTTCATTAGAGCGAGCGTTGTTTCTGCACTTGGAACTCAGATTGAAAGCTGTATCGATATGATTGGCTTCTTATTTCCATTTCTCTTTCTTCTTTGCTTCTGCAACTGCTTAGGTCGACTTTCTGGCAGCGGAAAAGTTTATACCCAAAGCAGAGGCTGTCGCGAGCTCTGCTCCTTTATCTTCATATTTTCAAGCATCTTTATACCATTTACAGGACGAATCATGTATGTGCCGACTATGGCTGTGCGGCCCGGGTGAGACCCGCGGGCGTTTTGAATTTTGTAGGGTCGGGACATGATAATGAGTTGTGCTTTCTGGACATATGCGGAGACTTTTCCAGTCTCCTACCCCGGAAGGAGTCATGGGTGTCGTGTTTCCTTTAGCGCACGACATCCGGACTGGACGATTTTGATAGACAACCTGTATCGGCAATCCGGGAAGTTCGCACTTCTTGTGCTTTTAGGGAGAAGGGTATTCAGCAAATTGTTACGCTTAGTTAGCTACCTTGCGCGGTTCTGTTTTCTTCTTCTTCATTTCTACTTAGAGGACATTGTTAGCAGGATACCATTGGGATGGGTTCGGCTGCCCCCTCCAAAGCCACGGGCACGGGGCGTTGTTGGAGACTACAAAAGGACGTAGTTCATTCAGGGCCCCAGCCTTTTGGGACGGGCAGGTAAAAAGGGGAGTGGTTTTGGAATGTCAATGGGGGCTATTATGGTGTATGGTATTTGGTAGCGGATGAACTACCCATCTCATTTCCCTATTCTAGCGGCAAGGATAAGATACCCCTAACATGGCTGAGCCGTGTAGGCCGCATATGAAGTAAACATGTCGTTGGAACAACAACTCTATCGTTTGCAACGTGCTTAATTGTCTCGCGATTATAGTGCCAGCGGACGTTGAATGATGATCTTTGTACGTTCACGCCCCTCCTTCCATTTTAACACGGAGGACCGCCGGAGTCAATCACTTGCCCGTTCCGGGCATCCCGATGAATGGGGAGACTACACTCCAGACTGCTTCTGGAACTCTACGGACTCAGTGACTGTATGTATTTTTGCTCTCCTGAGCTCTTGCAAGACCAATAACATCAAGGTTCGGACACTCAATTGGTGAATATAATCCCTCCCCCCTGTATATAAGAACGAAGCTTCCGGGCATGTTCAGCGTCTAGCTGTTGGCGCCGGCGTTGTGATACAGATTTGAAACGGGGTGGATTAGTTCACCTGTTGGGGAGGCCTTAGAGGGTGGTCGCTTGAAAGGCCCTGGAGGATTGGTCTGAGAAGACGGGCCATCTTTCTCTTCTTTTCTTCTCTGCAGTGACATTTTCTTTGAAGTGTGTTTGGTACGGATGCTCGTTGAGTTAGGTAGTTTATTTCTGGATGGCTGGATATGGGATGGGGGGCGGAAGGGAACATGTCACTCGGCGCGTGTTGGGAATGAAAGCGTTCGAACGGATGTGGATACCGCGTGCGCTCGCTCCCGCGCGGCGGGTACGGGAGAACCCAACGGTTCGAATGGAATGGCCCTATTGTCCGTTGTCCGTTGGTGTTCCCGTTTTTTGTGACATTTGCGGCTTTGGCCCTGGATGGTGCCTGGCGATTCACGAAAGGGGATAAGGGGGTACATGGTTTGGCGTGATTGGGTAAGGTGAGTGAGGTGTGAGTGAGGTGAGCATAGTGGATGCGGTTGCTGGGCTGCGGGTGGGGTCTGTTTACTTTCGACGTCATTGGGACGGGAGGCTGGGAGAGAGCAGGCGCGATGGGGTGCTGGACACTATTTCGCTAACACAGAATACGGCCTTTGGAGGTCGCATCGGGTTGCACACGAATCGAAGGGCCAAGCTATTTGTCCGTAGTCAGTGTTTTTTCTCCATCCTACAAGGCCATTTCACCTTGGAGCACTGGGCAGGCGCAAAAAAAAAGTCCCGAGAGAGAGCAGGGAAGCGACCCCCAGGCAGATTCCCCCACCAACCACCTCACTTGTTCGCGCACATCCCCCAGCCACGGCAATTTCTGGTTTCTATAGGAACAAGCCTTCCGCCATCACGCGGCTGGCCAGGCAACTTTCACCTCTTACCTTGTCCGCATTCTTCACCTTTTCGACATTCCACCGGGAGAATAGAGTGCGTATTACCCATTCTCTGACTAGAGTGGACTGCAGAAGAAGCATTCCCTTCACAGCATCCACAACCACACATTCCAGTCTCACCTCCATCATCGCTGGTTCTGCCAGCAATCGTCAACTACTACCCAGATTTCATACCGAAAAAGCTTTTTTACCACGTACCTCGACTTCAACTGAAGTCCACCTTGCCAATCATGGCTCCGGCCGTCGTCAACGGCCTGGCGCACCAAGCCCGCTCCTTCATCGCGGGCAGACGACTCTCGAGCCTCCCCGACCCAGCAGACATCACAGCTCGATCAATCGACGCGGGCTCCGTCGGGCCTCTCGCCGCTCGCTCCCTCCTCCTCGCCCGCGATAGCACGGGATACAAGGAGGACCCCCACGTCGGCGTCACCGACCCGGGGAACATCAACAACACGGCCATCTTTGTGCTGTTCGGCCTCATCGGCGCCGCTTTTGTCATCACCGGCATCTGGTTCTTCTTCTGGGCCCGCAACGGAGGCTTCTACTTCAAGGACAACGACTGGGATGACTACAAGACGACGGTGCTCCGCCGCAGGGGTCCCAACGGCACTCTCCTGTCCGGCGCCACCAAGTCGACCAAGCTCGGAGGCGGCAGCGTCTACAAGGACTACGACGACAACCAGACGAGCATCTCGGGAACTACCCTGTCAGGCATCACGGCGGGGCCTAGCGACATCGGCGCCCGTGAGAAGCGCGAGCGCAAGAAGGAGAAGAGACGCAGGGAGAAGGAGGCCGCGCGCCACAAAGAGAAGGCCTCGTCCCAGAACTACGACGAGGCCGGCGTGCTCATTGACGAGGAGGCCGAACGCGAGGCCAAGAAGCACCTCCGCTCTTACCGCCATGAGAAGCCCGCCCGCGTCGGCGGTCTGAACAAGGAGTCCGAGGCGTCCGAGTGGGATGGCTCAACGAACCCTACCGAATCCAACGTCTCAACCAGCTTGTTGTCAGGCCAGCAGACCACGCCGACGTCTACGCCCCACAAGAAGAGCGGCCACGGCGGTATTCGCAAGGTGTACAGCACGGCGGACCGCAACGAGGAGCGCGAGCGCCAGCGCATCCGCGCCGAGGCTAAGAAGCTGCAGGAGCGGGGCCGGGCTGCGGGTAGCTCGAGGCGCGACTTCAGCTTCCAGCGGGCGAGCACGGTCGCCGAGGACCAGAACACACGCGGCTACGCGCTCCCGCCGCCGAGGGAGGAGCCCGAGCCGAGTATGCCGGGCAGCTGGGCCGAGAGCGATATCACGAGCGCGCTGGAGAGCGATGTGGGGAACAAGTCGTATCACCACGTCATTCCTGGTTTGAGCAGCCAGAGCGCCGTGAGCAGTGATTATGCGGATGAGAGGCGCAAGAGGAGAAAGGAACGTCGTCACCGTGATCACTGAGTTATGATGGTCATGTCATGGCCATGATCCTGGTGATATTTACAAGTCACGGTTGATAGGATATGAAAGATGAAGAGCAAGTTTCGCGAAATGAGGCATGATGAGTCTTGAATTCTCATCCGAGACTGCATGGACGATGGACGATGGACGAAGGAAGTTGGGAGATGGATCATGGAGAAAAACAAACAAAGACACGAAATGGGTTTGAGTTGCGATTGGCGAGCATATTTTGAGAAATGCGGGCGTTTGGGGATTGCTTTGTGGTAATTTCTGGTATCGGGGACTTTGTGCCCTGCGGGATGGATGTGTAGAGTAGCAACGCGAGCAACGCGATCATGTAGAATGATGATTGGGCTGAAGCAATGAAATGAGGATTCAGTAATTGTGTTTAGCAGCTGTGATTATGGGTGATAATGATGGGGGGATTGTAGTGTTGAAGTGTCATGTCGAGGTGAGTTGAAATGTTGAGGTTCGATGTTGAAGTGAAGTCAAGTGGGGTTTATGATGTGAGCGAGGACATTTGTAGTTGATATCGCCATTTGTCATCGTTGTTAACTCAAGGTTTGGAGACGGATATGGAATTCTTGGGTATGCTCATTCTAGCTTGAAATGTCTGGTTATACACCACGAAGCTTTGTATTCCAGGAACCTGATCTTTTCGTCTATAGCGGTGATAGATTTTGGCACGTTTCAAGCTTTGCTGTGTTCTGAATCCACATGTGGTTTTGAAATACCGTTATCCGTGTCATTGAATGATTTCCACGCAGTCGGTCACTACTGCTATGTACGGATACTGAGGGGGGGGGGGGTAACTTACCTGCCTTAAGCCTAATGAATTCCAGTGCGTTGACCGCCCCGTTCTAATATTATTTACTTGTAGAAAGAGGAAAAGATAGCCATGTTCTTACAACCCATGGTCTTATCTGGAGGTGTGTATCTGTAAGCTCGGCTCCCACTAAAGTATGAATGGAACTGTTTTCAAGTCCATGATGTTGCGGTGTCCGACCGAGTTCATTACTAATTGGTAAGCGGAACCTGCAGCGATAAAGTTTCTAGCCCCACGGTGTTCTAGGCGGGGGTTGCTGCACAACCTGAACGATGAGTTGGTGCCGGTAACTCATTGGATCCTTGCAGGCCCGAGCGATCGCGGCAGCCGCCGGCCGCTGTCGGGGCGTGGAGGGGGAGGGGCGGGGACCCTTTTTTTCGGCGGGGTGGTTGGGAGGAACGACGCCGCGGGGTATTGACGGGTTGCTTTTTTTTCTTCAACCTCCCTTTTCGCTCGCGCTCCTGTTTGCCTCTCGAACGATTTCGGTAGTCTGGAGTGGACCAATTGCTTCACTTGTACCAACGCGGAAAGCATATCATTCGCCAAGCAACTTTCGATCACTATTCAAGTTTGTTGAGAGTGTTCTGGCGATTTTGAGCAGGGGTGATTCGGAATCGGTGCCCCTCGTCAGAGGCACTTTGCGCAACACCATCATCACTATCGAGCATACCAAACGCGGGAAAACTCAGAAATCTCACCGGCGTTCGAATCTTGGTGTGTTCAAGTTGGAGAATTCTCACGCCGTTTCTTTCGGCGCAAGGATTACGCGCAGAAATCTGAGAGGGCAGGAAATAGGGGGAAGGAAAGCCAGACTAGCCAGCCATGGCGGACGACGAGCAATGGAGCGGCATGGAGAACACGGTTGACGATCCGGAGGAGACGAGGGTCATTTTCTGTGCCCTCGACTCATTTCTGTGAGTGGTTTATGCTCTATTTTCTCTTCCTGTTCTGCAATTGGATGAGGGGACCACCGCTATATCACGGGTGAGTTCCGCAAGGCGGAAGAGATTCTTCACCCTGACGTGCCAAACGAACGGAACTCACCCTCACTCTTGTTCTCATCTTCCTCACCATCATCATGACCTCAATCCTTTCAACTCACTAACAATCCTACAGCCAATACGCAAAAGTGGCACACTTCAACGTAACCCACCTCCGCCGCCAATCCTTCTACGCCCTGCCCCAGGCGCACTGGCAGATGCTCGCGGCTCCGCCCTTCAACTTCCTCGACACCCTCGAGCGCACCGACGACGCCATCGAGTCCAACGCCGAGCTCGCCCGCGCCATCGCCCACAACGGCCTGCGCTCCTTCCACCTCGTAGACGAGAACTCGACAGAGGAACCCAAACTGCCGGACAACTGGGTCGGCGTCGCAAAGCACGGCGACACCGACAAGGCGCGCAGCACCCTCCGCCAATTCTACCGCGACTGGTCCGCAGAGGGCGCCGAGGAGCGCAGCATATGCTACGGTCCTGTCCTTGAAGCCCTCGATCGCGAGCGCAAGGCCCGACAGTCGTCTTCTGCCACGACGACAGACGCCAACGTCGCTGCCGCGGAACCCCTGAAAGTCCTCGTCCCCGGCGCAGGACTAGGCCGCCTCGTCTTCGATCTCTGTCTCAACGGCCACGACGCAGAGGGCAACGAGATCTCCTACCACCAGCTCCTCGCCTCCTCCTACATCCTAAACTGCACAAAACAAGCAGGCCAACATAAAATCTACCCCTGGGTCCACTCCTTCTCCAACCACCGCACGCGCGAGAACCACCTCCGGAGCTGCGCCGTACCCGACATCCACCCGGCGACGGAACTCGCGCGGGTGCAGCAGCAGCAGCAGCAGTCTTCTGAATCGGGAGGCGCAGGAATTGGCAGCATGTCAATGTGCGCCGCAGACTTCCTCTGCCTCTACTCCGACGCCGAGCACGCCTCAGCCTACGACGCCGTCGCGACCGTCTTCTTCCTCGACACGGCGCCCAACCTCATCCGCTACCTCGAGACGATCCACCACGCCCTCCGCCCCGGCGGTCTCCTCATCAATTTCGGGCCCCTGTTGTGGCACTTTGAGAATAACGCCCCCGGAAACCACGGGCGCGATACCGACGGCGATGGCGACCACGATGCGAGTAACTCGTCCGGTATTGCGGATCCGGGGAGCTTCGAGTTGAGCGATGACGAGGTCATGGCGTTGGTCGAGAAGGTGGGTTTTGTGGTGGAGAGGAGGGAGACGGGGATTGCGGCGCCGTATATCCATGATGGGGAGAGTATGTTGCATACCACGTACCGGGCGAGTTTTTGGGTGGCGCGGAAGCCGTTGTAGACTTTTTCTTGCTGTCTTGAACTCTCTCGATCTTCTGATTTCTTGGCTCTGTTACCAATCTGTACATATTGACGGGATGTAAGGGGTCAGCAGTGCAAATTAACTGCATTACGGTAGCATGATAGACTCGAGGCAAAGGCAAAGTGAACCCTGATGGGAGGCAATTACATATTCTTGTTCGAAAAAACAACACACCATCTACACAGTCTACTCAGAAGCTTCCTTACAACTTACTAGGAGGAACGTTCAACTCCCCCCTCTGCCACAACGACCCACCATCAATAGCAATAACCTCCCCGTTAACATGCGAACCCGCGCGACTAGCAAGGTACACCACCGCGCCCGCGATATCCTCCGGCCGTCCCAGCCGACCCATCGGGTTCCCCTTGCCAATCTTATCCGCGCCGCCACCAATCTCCAACAACCCGTTGGACATCTTACTCGGGAAGAAGCCGGGGGCAATGGAATTCACGGTAATCCCTCTGGGAGCAAGCTCCAGCGCCAAGTTGCGACCGAGGTGCAATACGGCGGCCTTGCTGGCGCTGTACCCATACGTGCCCTGCTTGCCCAGCGTACCGACCCCCAAGCCCGCAACAGACGCCGTGATGATAACCTTTGCCGGCTCGCCGCCAGCGCTCTTGTTCGCAGCCACGCTCTTCTCGAGCAGCGGCGTAAACAGCCGAATGGTGTTAAACACGCCCTTGACGTTCAAATCCATCACCTTGGCAAACGCCTCGTCCGGGTGGGTATCGAACGCCTCGCCCCAGGTAGCGCCCGCGTTGGCGAACAGGATATCGACGCGGTCGGCGTGCTTCTTGACCTCGGCGACGAGGTGCTCCACGCCCTTGATGGACGCCGCGTCCGCGGGGACCGGGATCGCGACGGCGCCGGGCTGGAGGTTGGGCAGGGCGTTGAGGGCCTTGCATGCCTCTTCGCAGGCTTTGCCCTTGCGGGAGGAGATGAAGACTTTGGAGGCACCGGCTTGGAGGAAGCTGTTGTTTTTTTTTCCATCGTCAGTCAAAGGTTTCGTTTCACCATGATCTTGTACGGATTAAAGAGCACACGCAAGAAAAGAGAAGGAGAGATTGAACGTACGCTGAGGCGGCGTGCAGACCAAGACCGCGAGAGCCGCCGGTGACGACGGCGACCTTGCCCTTGAGGGAGAAGAGGGAGGGAAAGTCGTGGAGCTGTGCTTCGGCCATTGCTGATGATTTCTCCGGGGTTCCTGTGATTCAATTGATTGTTTCAAAGGTTTCTGATGAAGAAGAGCAAGTTTAGAAGGACAGAAGGTCGGAAGATCGGAATAAAATGAAAAGTATGGGGGATGAAGAAGGTAAAAAGGGGGCCCGGGATTGGAAATCCGTACAGCTAATCAATCAATTCGTCTCTCCCCCAGAGTTTAGAACCGACCTTACCCCGGGCGGTGACGTTTGCGGGGGAGAAGATACCGAGCCTCGGCTGTCCCGCTAGCTCCAGTTTCCCAGACACCGGGCCCACACCGGGAAAAAGCGTGGGGTCGGGGCCGATTACTGATGCACAGCATTTTGCATTTTCGCTGCCTTGGGGTCCTTGGGGTTCTTGGAATCCTAGGGGCAAAAGTGCAAAAACACCAGACAGGAATTGTAAATTCCATGTAAGGTACGGCTGCATTGTTCTAGGACCCAGCGTCCTGGGTTTGCGGCGCAGCCCTATCACAATTCATATGCAGGGTACTTCACAAGCATAGGCTGAGCAAGTAGGGTTGGTAATTCAGTGTTGAGGAATAAATAGCACATAGATGAGAGTCGTGATCGTGTTGACGAGATCCACGCGAGATGAGAGAAAAAAGAGACTCTAGTAATGCAATCTGACCATGGCCTGTTCCCATGCTCTCCACTGTTGTTTGAGCTTGCATCAATGCTGCTAATGCTGCCAACTCCCTGTGAATAACAATCTTATGCCAGATAAATCCAAGTAAATGTTTGACAACATGTGAATCATCATATCATAGCTTCCGCAATAATAGCGTAGTAAATGAGCCGGGTTGTCGGCAAAATAGACTGTCGTCTCATCGTGATAGAGGAGCCCAGGTAGGCCTAGCTCCTCCCAAAACGTATAATTTGTTAAAATGTGCTGCCATCACAAGTTGTGACAGAGACGCAAACATGTTCGCAGATAAAGGCGTCTGCTTATTTTCTTGACTTCTTCTTCGCTCGGGTCTTCTTCTCCCAGCAGTCATCGACGGCATATTCGACGTCTTCAAAGTCGTCCGGGCTGATGTAGCCGATGAAGAAGACCTTGACGTTGTGTTCAACCGTGACAAGTTTGGAGTAGTTCACGCGCGATTCTTTGGCGAGCTTTTCTCCCTCTATCGTGATCTTGGCCCGGACTGGTGGGAATCCAAGCTTTGGCTCATCGCGAAGCGGTCGATGAGGCTTGTGGCTGTAGATCATGCCGTGCTTGTGGGCTTTTACGCCCCTCTTGTTGCAAGCTTTGCCTTGATACGTGAGGATTGGCCTGATCTGTCAGCGAAAACTTCCAGATGATAAATTAGGCCGACTTACACGCAGGTGCAGTGCCCTTCGTCATTCGCAATGACAATGAAGCGCCTGAAACCGATGAATACAGACCCTCCAAACTGGTCTTGAATCTGCTGCTTTTCGGATATTGTCGAATTCCCTGCGGCGTGAGAGCCGGATGGCTCCGACCATAGAACCTTGAAGACCTATCACACTTAGTCAAGTGAAATCATAACTGTGTAAAGTAACCTACCGATCCGGGCCGGAATTTGTGTGACGGTTCAACGACGTAACCTCCAAATTGTCAGAGTCAGTGAATCGAGGTATAGATGCATATGTCCACTCACGAGGGTCAAGATCTTCAGCAGACCCATGAGTGCCGCTTATGTCGAAGGATGGTGTAGGGCTTTGGCGGCCCTTTGGTGTTGCCGTACCGTCGTCCTCCTCGTACGCTGGATAAGCTGTCTGGGTAATCAGCCATGGGGATGGCACTGAGGACTATGCCTGTTCCTTACCTGTACCATATGCGGGATCCGTCGATGACCCGCCGTGACCGGAAGTCCCATACATCTCGTTGCGGTTCGACATAGCCTCTTGCACAACCGGATCATCATAGTCATCTAGGTCCGCCGTTGCGTATCCAGAGTCTGCCGACGTCAGCATGGTTCAGATCCCTAAGCCGAGTGCCTCACCTTGACTGTATGTAGCCGTAATTGGATCATGAGCTGTCCCATATCCCTCAGACTCGTGATATAGGCTTTCTGCCCCAGCTTGCGGAGGAGCTACTTTGGGTTTGTTAGCTGCACAGTCTTTCACAAGATCAACCTCGCTTACATTCTTCATCCTGTAGCCCAGTGGTGCCACCCTTTGCGCCCCAGAAAGGATCTAATGGCGGCGGGGGAGGGTCTTCAGGTGAAGGACTTCGTTCAGCGGGTGGATCTGGGGCGTAGGCTGTCTCTTTTCCCTTCCTAGATCTACCTGAGCTGCCTTGGGATGTCGCCGAAGGTTCATACATGTAGGATGGATCTGCAGCAGGGTTAGTCCCAGCTATGCGATGCTGTCACACAACTCACCATTATGCTCGATATCCTGTCCCTCATAGCCATAACTGTGTTCGGTGGTAGGTGGCAGATCGAGGTTGTCCATGGTTTCCGTGAGTTCGTCTACTGCTCGGGGAGTGAAATCGTCTTGCGGCGCCGGCGCCGGCATCGCAATATCCTGCCACTCATAGTCGTATTCGCCTTTAGACGTCAGCTGCATTCGCAATCGTACGTCGATTCATGACTCACCATTGCTGTTCATGCGGTACCTGTAGTTCTTCTGGTAGTCTGGATTCCACTGCCAATCACTCCACGCACTCCATGTACTCCCACCTCTGCCGCCTCCGCTCTTCGACTTGTGTTTGCTTGACCTGCTCGACTTGTGCATGATTGCATTTTGTGTCGACACTTGGAGAGGTTCGAACTTCGGCGCCGATCATGGGTGGGCCTCCGCGCAAGACCGGGTTCGGAGACGGAGACCGAGTCTTGGTGATAGTGTAAGCTTGAGGCTCAAGAAGAAAGAGACAACAGACAAGCGGACCTCGACAGGCAAGCCGGGCCTCGAGGCCTCGGGGCCACGACAGGATAAAAGGAGTGCCCGCTTAATTGGTTGAAGTAGCTGCGCGGCAACGCGTGACGTATCTTGCGAGATATGACTGGCGCAAAAGCGACAGTACTCTTGCAGGAAGGGGGGTATGAGCCTTCACAGAGCCTGCATCGTCTTGCAGGAGCTTCGAATCCTAAAGGGATGTACTGAGGTGGAAGGTCGGTGCCAGGCTGAGAGAAAGAGTGTGAGGAAGAAGATCGGTCAACGGGAGAGCGTGAGACAGGAAACGGAAGACGGAGAACGACGAGAAGAGGGTGTGACACGGCACGGTTGCCTTTTCTTCCCGAGTTTACCCTCCCAAGTGACTGCCACAGTATGGTCTATGGACCCGGGGTCGATAAGCCGAATGAATGCACTTCATTATCCATCGAGGATTTCCCACCGTAGGTACGTGGAGCAAAGTGGACAAGAAACAACGGCGGCCCCAAAGGCTCGCCTTCTCCTCTTCCAGTCCCGCGAGGTGGTCTCACAGATGGCACCCGCTTGCACACCCTGGTCTCCGTTCTGTTCATTGTATGGTGTGCAACCCAAGAGACGCCACCCCTGGCTGTATGAAGGCCCGAAGAGGTTGCTGGCCGGCGGCGGTTGGCTCGCGTGTTGATTGAAATTCTGTACCGGTACGAAGTGATTGGAAAAGAGACAAATGGAACCAGGCTGCGCTTCTTCGTCCCGTTGTGTTTTGGTGTGGGATGACTTCCCACCAGTAGCGACGACTGCTCGACTTGACCCCGCGCTGCCCGTGTCCACCTGCCAGTGGTGCCAGTGGTGCGCGGTGGTCCTTGTCACTGCCTGGGTGGACCGCCGAGAAGAGCCCCCCCCACGGAAGCTCGGGCTCATTAGCTGTGGTGCTGACACATATCGGGACTAGCGTCGGGACGGCAGCAGCTAGCTCCGCAGTACGTACTCTCGTACCCTCCTAGAGCACAGATAGGTACCTGGTTGGTCTCCGCTGAACGGCTGGGAAGGCACGAAAGGCACAGAAAGCAGATGCAAAAGGGGGCTAGCACACGGGAGGCAAGTGGATCCGCTTACCGAGAAAGGCTCAAGGGGGCTCCTCCAACGGTGTTGCTCGTCTCGGTCAGCACCCATCGTTTTGTTCCCACGTTTGTTGCATTACTGCTGCTGTTTAGGTTGCTGCTGCCTCTCCTGCTGGCCTGCTTCTGCTGGCATGCATCCGTAATTAGCACTACCTTGCCTGAAGAAGGTGGTGACTGGAACGAGCCGCGTCGACTACGCCCACAACATTCTCAAGTCGAGCCGTCACATCCTTCGTTCGAAATTCATTCCAGCGACCGTCGACGACGAACTCTCCCTTTGTCGCATAATCAAACCCTACCAAGCGATGGAACTATTCCACGACCAGTACGCACCATAGCCTCTCTTCATGGCTACGACCGAAAGCCCCAGACGACGGACCTCCGCCACGAGTTTGTCAGGGGATGCCGAATGCCACGAGCATGCCATTCCATCCGAAGCAACGACTATTGATGCTAGCTATTCCGAAAGCGTTCAGCTCATGCCATCACCACTCTCACGATCATATCCACCACCACCACCTCCTCCTCCGACGTTGACACGACCAAATTCTCTTGGCCCCTTGATGGCAGCCCCATCTACATGGCAAAAGCCCGATGCGTCACAACACCATGATTCTCAATCCTCAGGCCCGAATACACCGCGTCCTCTATCCCATCGGGCCAGTCACGGACACAAACGACCTCACCCTTCGCCTCCGCCTCCGCAGTCCCGAGGACCGCGGCCACCCGTTCCCATCATGCTCCTTCACCCACCACCACCTCCGCCGCCGCCGTCGCCGTCAAACCTCGATGCTGCCTTCAGGGGTCGAGGGCTGACAAAGGTTTCGATGCAACGCAGCCTTTCGCCGTCCATGTCTCTATCATCAGGCTCATGGCATCACGAATACACTAGCTCAGACGACGACACAAGCTCAGTAGAGGCAGATTACTTTGAACAAAAAAATCGCGTGGTCTTTCCACCGCTTATGCCCACTGTGCAAGATCGTCAGGTATTTGAGCGAGAGAGGAAACATATCACAG